ACTCCAGCCTGGGCAACAGAGTGATACCCTGTCTCAAAAAAAAAAAAAAAGTCTGTAATAACGTTATATTGCTAAAATCCTGTAAATCATGGAAGGGAAAAGTTATAATAACGTTATATTGCTAAAATCCTGGAAATCCTATAAATCACGGAAGGGAGAAGTCAGTACTTATCTGGCAGGGTGGGTGTAAGACAGTAGGACACATATGCTTAATAATATATTTTAGATGTCTGTTACACATAAATGTGTATAAAATGGAATTCATTCCAGCAGCTCAGTAATTATATTTCTTATGCATCCATGGGATACAGAGCACTCTGATGGGTCCTGTGAGGACATCCTCTCACATACCAGGTTTCTTCCCTCACTATAACTGGAAGAGGCATTTTATTCTCAGTTCATCATAAGGTATGTGTGAATCTGACCTGTCAGTATTTATTTAACTCCCCACTCTCTGTTTCTGTGTTAAATAGTTTACCCATTGCCTTTGATTTGATGGTCATGAAACACAGGTGGAAGAGTTTCTTTTATTGGTCGCTGGTGGCTCTCATACTCTTTCTGGTGAGTTTTCTTTTCTTCTTGTTTTGTCCTAAAGTTGTAATGAAAGCAACTTTGATGTGAAAAAGGAACATTAGGAGTTTATTCTGTTTTTCATTCTCAGGTTTATCCTGTTAGCATTTTGAGAATGTTTCCAGAGCAAAACTATTTTCTGCTCTGTTTTAGGTGCCTGTGGTGGTCATTGACAGCTACTATTATGGGAAGTTGGTGATTGCACCACTCAACATTGTTTTGTATAATGTCTTTACTCCTCATGGACCTGATCTTTATGGTAAGGCTTTGTGAAATTTATGGAAGTGTTAGGAGATAGCTTAATTTGCCTGAACTTAAAATTTTTAATTCAGTTGCCTCATTTCATTAATACAGCATTTCTTTGCTGATACCATCTTTTCCTGAGTACAGCACAATGATGAAACATAGCCACTCAAATATTTCCCTTGATTAATGTGATATTCCAATACTGGCTTTTTATTTTTCCTGTTTGTTATTTTCACTTTCAGAGTTTTGAGGACTCTGGGCATGCCATGGCTTTTGATACTGCTTTTTTAAAAATTAAAAGTTACTTTTTTCTCTTCTTGATAAAAAACCAGTATGGTAGGAGAAGAAAATAAAAACATAATGCAATCATCTCCATATAACTCCTGGGAGTTAATAATCTCCATTACTAACACCTGGGAGGATACTTCAGATTTTTTTTTTTTTTTGAGATGGAGTTTGACTCTTGAGTACAATGGCATTATCTTGGCTCACTGTAACCTCCACCTCCCGGGTTCAAGCACTTTTCCTGCCTCAGTCTCCCTAGTAGCTGGGATTACAGGTGCCTGCCACTATGTCTGGCTAATTTTTTTGTATTTTTAGTAGTGATGGGGTTTCACTATGTTGGCCAGGCTGGTCTTGAACTCCCGACCTCAGGTGATCCACCCACCTCAGCCTCCCAAAGTGCTGGGATTACAGGCATGAGCCATCACGCCCTGCCCAGACATTTTCTATATATACACACATTTGATGTTACTTTTTCTTTTCCAGATTTGTTTTACTTCAATTCAAGCGTAAGGGGAGAAAGTTTGGAAAATCTCTAGACAAAGTTACAGCAAATGGGGCTGGGCTGGGGTCAGCATGGGAGGGTGGGGAAGTTGACCAGCTTAGGGTTAAGAGAAAAAATGGAATGTCTTTAATCTGGGGATGCAGTCTTCAATTTACCCATCTCCACTCCTTCCCTGATGCCTTTCACTCTACCAGCCAGTTTCATTTGGCCCCTGAAGGCATTTGAGTTAGTTACAGTTACGGGGGGATGAACTAGAGATCTTTTGGATCAAATCAGCCAAGTCAGCAAACATTTCACAAGAGAGGCAGTTTTTCATTAAAATAATTATAGTCTCTTCTGCCTTAATTTTTTGAGGTCTTGGAGCATTCTGTATAAGTGCTTGCTTTGAGGTTCTGCTATGAAGCAGGTTAAGATTGTGTCTAACTGTACTCCTATCAATTTAAGCCTTATCACTAGCCATGTCCATCAATTGCCTGTGCCATTTTGCCAATAGAACAGATTGAATAGGGAGATTTAAAGTAAGAATATGAATGAGATTTAATTGAGCCTCCTGGAATTTTGGGAATATTATTCTAAATGGCAAGTAATGGGTTAAAATAAAAAGTGCTTTGTTCAGTGGATTGAATTCACAAACTGCACAGTTAGAGAATAATTACTCCTTTATGGCTCTAGGATCCCTAAGAATGTGAGAAAAGGCCCCAGTTTAAGCTTTTGCCTCTAGATGTCTCCCGTTAGCTAGGGAGAGTTTGCATGTTTCTGATCGCCGCATGTTTTAGTTTACTTGTAAAATTGTATTCTATTTCACAAGACAATCAGAGGTCTTAGATCTAGATTGCATGGTAGAAATCGTTTCACAGAAAGCCTATTGGAAACACAATATCCACTCTGTGAATAAATTGAGTTTATTTGTGTTAATCTTGAAAAGTTGACTTCTTTACCTTTATAATGGCTTATCAATATTCTAACTCCTTATTTATAAAACCTTTTGTGAGAGACTTATAAAAGTGACAGATTGTTTATGTCCCTCTAGATTGATGAATCTCTCTTGTTTTTTTTGAGACGGAGTTTCACTCTTGTTGTCCAGACTAGAATGCAGTGGCGTGATCTCGGCTTACTGCAACCTTCCCTCCTGGTTCAAGCAGTTTTCTTGCCTCAACCTCCTGAGTAGCTGGAATTATAGGTGCTCACCACCACACCCACCTAATTTTTGTATTTTTAGTAGCAATAGGATTTCGCCATGTTGGCCAGGCTGGTCCCCAACTCTTGACCTCAGGTAATCTGCCAGTCTCAGCCTCCCAAAGTGCTGGGATTACAGGTGTGAGCCACTGTGCCCAGGGATGAAGCTCTTAAATCTAGGAATAATCAGGCTGGTAGAGAAAGTAGGAAAGAAGGAGTAAATTCTGATTTAAGTTTACAATGCTAGTTTAATAGTGGGTCAATCAGGAACCCCTGTAGTAGGTTTTGAGATCCAGCAGAGCAGTGACCAGTCTTTCCTGAGACATTGGCATTTGCTGCTCATTTCAGTCAGCGTTTTACTGGGAAACAGTCCTTGGGACTTCTTTCTGCCTACTTTAATGAACCTGGGGTAGCTTCAGTTCAGATTTTGCTATTTTGGATGTACAAAAACTGATCACTTTCCTAGTGGTAGCAAAAACTTCGTTGAAACAGAGAGAATTGGCATACCAACCATGAACAGGACTGATACAGTGCTGCCGTCAGCCAGACTTCAGGGAGTTATTACTTCATGGCAGGATTTTTGTGCTCTTACTTCATCTTTGAATTTGGTAAAAAAAAAAAGAAATTTGTCTGATTTCCATTCTTTTCGTTTTTTTGGGTTTTATTTGAGACAGGGTCTTGCTCTGTCACCCAGGCTGGAGTGCAGTGGCATGATCTTGGCTCACCACAACCTCTGCCTCCCAGATTCAAACTCTTCTTCTGCTTCAGCCTCCTGAGTAGCTGGGATTATTGGCACCCACCACCACACCGGGCTAATTTTTTTATTTTTAGTAAAGACAGGGATTTTACCATGTTGGCCAGGCAGGCCTCAAACTCTAACCTCACATGATCTTCCTGCCTCAGCCTCCCAGAGTGCTGGGATTACAGGCATGAGCCACCATGCCCAGCCTAATTTCCATTCTTTTAGAGTGTTGACTCCTTTTTGATTTAGAAAGCCTGCAGAGAGAATACTTCTTCCATCTTAGTGGGAATTCCTTGTGTATCCCAGATTTACAGTAAAGATCTGTCAAGAATAAATGAATGGATGAATTCTGGAGTATCCATTGGGTTACATTAGTGTGTCATTTACTGTTGTATCCTAGAATCACTTTAGTTAGACCTGTTGTGGTGCTAGCTTGAGATTTTCTTGACACCAAATAAAAATAATATAATAGATATAAATAAAATACTTTTTATTTATTTGAGACAGAGTCTTGCTCTGTCACCCAGGCTGGAGTGCAGTGGCACAATCTCAGCTCCCAGGTTCAAGTGATTCTTCTTCCTCTGCCTCTGCCTGCTGAGTAACTGGGACTACAGGCACATGCCACCATGCTTAGCTAATGTTTTGTGTTTTTAGTAGAGACAGGTTTAACCGTGTTAGCCAGGATAGTCTCGATCTCCTGATCTCGTGATCCACCCATCTTGGCCTCCCAAAGTGCTGGGATTACAGGCGTGAGCCACCATGTCCAGCCCAATAAAATACTTTTTAAATCAAAAAGTACTTTATGATTGTCAGCTAATTTTATTATAATTGGTGAGTCCATTCAGTAAATATAAAAGACCTGTCTTTTACTAAATGTTTTGATGCAGTAAAATTGTCAGACAGTGAGATAGCATGTTTTTTGTATTAGAAATGCTAGCTCTTGCACTTTATTACATGTTGGGCATTATTTAGCATTATTTTGGCATTTTACAAGAGTCTCCTGCTCCAGGTGCCTCGTTAGCTATGTTAGATACACAGTTTCTTATCTGAAAATTAAAAATGCATTGTGCTGTGTATACCATAGAATACTATACAGCCATAAAAAGGAACAAGATAATGTCCTTTGCAGGGACATGGTTGGAGCTGAAAGCCAGACTAAAACAGGAACAGAAAACCAAACACTGCATGTTCTCACTTATAAGTGGGAGCTGAACAATGAGAACACGTAGACACAGAGAGGGGGAACAGCACACACTGGGGCCTGTGGAAGAGGGCAGAAGGAGGGAGAACGTCAGGAAAAATAGCTAATGCATGCCGGGCTTAATATCTAGGTGATGGGTTGATAGGTGTAGCAAACCACCATGGTGCATGTTTACCTGTGTAACAAACCTGCACATCCTACCTATGTACCCTGGAACTTAAAAAAAATTTTAAAACAGGAATAAAATGCATTGTGCTTATAGTTTTTGTATACATCTTTTAGTGCTATTTCTCATGTATAAGAATATACTAACCCTGTTAATATTTCTTTTTTTTTTTTTTTAGATGGAGTTTCACTCTTGTTACCCAGGCTGGAGTACAATGGCGCAATCTTGGCTCACTGCAGCCTCTGCCTCCCAGGTTCAGGCAATTCTCCTGCCTCAGCCTCCTGAGTAGCTGGGATTACAGGCACATGCCACCATGCCCAGCTAATTTTTTGTATTTTTAGTAGAGACGGGGTTTCACCATGTTGACCTGGATGGTCTCAATCTCTTGACCTTGTGATCCGCCTGCCACTGTTAATATTTCCTGAATGGATGGACAAATGGACTTCAGTTAAAGAAACATTGAAGGCCTGGCACAGTGGCTCACTCCTGTAATCCCAACACTTTGGGAGGCTGAGGTGGGCAGATCACCTGAGGCCAGGAATTTGAGACCAGTCTGGCCAGCATGGTGAAACCCCGTCTCTATTAAAAATACAAAAATTAGCTGGGCATGGTGGTGCACACCTGCAATCTCAGCTACTTGGGAGGCTGGGGTACAAGAATTGCTTGATCCCAGGAGGCAGAGGTTGTAGTAGGCCAAAGTTGCACCACTGCACACCAGCCTAGGCAACAGAGTGAGACACTGTCTCAAAAAAAAAAAAAAAAAAAGAAAAGAAACATTAAGTACCTTGCTCTTGAGCATTAATCTTGTGTCCTCATAGGATTTACTGTCTAATTAGGCTGCAGACACTCAAATAGGTAATTGCAGGACAGTGTCTTACAGGTGCTATAGGGGAAAGATAGGGAATCATAGGAGCAAGTCCCTCTGGTAGTGTCAAGAAAGGTGTGGCTCTTGAGCTAAGCCTGGAAGAAAGAGTAGGAGTTTCCTTAGTAAATGTTAGGGTGCTGCATTTCTGACAAATGGAATGTCAAATATAAAAACTTATTTTTATAGCATTGGTTGAATTTTAGGTAGAAACTATTCAGACATGAGCAAGATCATTTCAATCACTCCATTGTGGTTACAGTCATATAAACATTTACCGTCTCTGTTGTTCTTGGTTTTCTTTTCTTTTTTCTTTCTTTTTTTTTAGATGGAGTTTCGCTCTTGTTGCCCAGGCTGGAATGCAATAGAGCGATGTTGGCTCACTGCAGCTTCCACCTCCCAGGTTCAAGCGATTCTCCTGCTTCAGCCTCCTGAGTAGCTGGGATTACATGTTTGCACCACTATGCCTGGCTAATTTTGTATTTTTAGTAGAGACAGTGTCTCTCCATGTTGGTCAGGTCAGACTGGTCATGAACTGTTCCTGGTTTTCAAAGGGGCCTTTCTATACTTTCCTGGCTGTATAGCATGTAGTAGTGACACGCTCCAGACTTGAGCTGACACCTTTCGTTTGAAGCCAGGGGAAATAACAGGAGTAAATTTTCAAAGATGTTAATTACAATATCACCTGATTATTGAAGGCCTACTGTTTGCCAGAAGTTATTCACATACCATCTTCTTCCCCTCATAAAAATTCTGTGAGACAGGCATTATTTATCTTTATTCCTGGATAAAGAAACTGAGGTTGAGATGGTGAGGAATTTGCCACATTATTAAATAAGTAGCAAAAGTGGGATAAGAGTTGTCTGACTTCAAAGCCTGTATTTCCACTGAAAACAAGACCCTTAGCAAAACTCTGGAGTTTGGCTGCTAAGACGTTACCAGAGAATAAACTTGCAAAAACAAAGAGCATGAATTAAGGGTGATAGAAGATAGGATCCAATCTATAGGATAGTTGGAAAGTTATACCTGTGAAGGTTTATGCATTTTGGGTTGGAGTGATCAGGGGGAGCCCCTAGTGAGCTTGGGTGGCAGAGTGGCATGCACACTGGCAATTCTCCTTTACATGGGAGTGCTGTACCAGACCCTTTTGTTGAACAAAGAAGGAGTGTTTGGATAAGGTAAAGAAGACTTGGCACTGAGAAAATTTAGAATAGGGTGGACTGGAGTTGCCAAGTCTTAGGCAAAATATCTCTGTGGAGTCAGAGATGAAGAGGTAAAATTTAATGTTGCGGAAAAGAAAGTGATTGGTCTTCGCACTGATTTTGCCTCTCATAACATTTCAAGTTCTCAGATATTGATGTTGGCAAGTATTTTTGTCTGGTGAGTGAAGAGTGGTGCTCTCTGATGAAGAGTGCACAGGCCTGGAGAAGGCATGGGAGGACACTTAGAGGAAATGCTTTTCCCTCAAAAAGAACAGTCTGCTCAGGATGCCACTTTGCAGCTTAGGACAGGATCCCATTGCCTGTTTATGTGTTTTATCAACATCCATCTGATCACTGGATGAAAAGTTTTGGAAGATAAAGGCAAATGCCCTCTGTTAGGAGGCCCACAGGTTTCCATAATTGCAGAGGCAAGGGAAGAAGCCCCAGTGGGGTCTTATCAGTCCTGCTTAGAATTCACTGCTAGCCAGAACTGTTCTAGAGCCTTTCCTCTTTTATTAATCATTTCTGTTGAACTTTAGTGGCTTTTCCCTCTTGGTGGTACAAATTTAACATTTATAAGGATGACTTACTATGATTTAGTGCCTACAGTTCTATAAAATTATAATTCTGGAAAGTAGTTCTCCTTCATTCAATCTATGGAGCAGTAAACATTATCCCTTCTTTTAGCTTCGTCGAAAGCTCCCCTTAGCTCATTTGACTGAGAGGACTTAAGGCACTTTCCATAAAGAGGAAGATTGGTGAGTCACTCCCTGCAGAGACCCTGCTGCCAGCTTTCCTTCACCTAAACATCTTGCACCAGTTTAGCGCTTAGCTTGTCATTCTGACGTGTTTTTTTTTTTTTTTTTTTTTTTTTTTTTTTCATAGTTCAGCTCTAATGTTTTCTGAGCAGCAGCATTGAATATCTCCCTGGAAAGAGATAAAAGTTTGTACCCTTTTCTTTCCTAAGGCAGATGTGCCATCAAGCAGGGGAGGACTCTGGCTAATAGAAGTCACTCTTTTTGTTCCCTTTTGCCCTTGTTTTTAAGACTGTTGATACTTCAACCTTCTTCACTATTGGCTTATCCCCCAATTTTTGCTCCATCTTTCAGGGAAATTACAGTCTATTACGAAATGTTCATGACCTATTTGGAAACTTGATTTATGAGCTCACAACACATAAAAATGATTGTGTTTACCATCTTAATACCTTTGTTTCCTCATCTCAGAGTACAGTATACCTAGATAAAAAGATAGCTCTAACAGGAGGGTGCGTAAATTGTGTTAGAGACAGATATTTGCTGGAAGCTAAAGTGCTTTCCTGAAAAAACAATTTGTATTTGCAAATATCAAAGAGACAAGTAGCTTTTTCCCTATTGGTGCTTAACATCTGTAATAGATAACGTGAAAGATAACCCCCTTTCTCTCTGGTCACTCTGTGGTTTTTCTTCACACGCTCAGATTTCCAGAATCCTGTTAAGAAAAAGGCGAGTCAGAGGTTGCTAGCACTGCCTCCACACTGGTGGTCAGGAGAGGATTGTGCAAAAGCTTACCTCTCTGGAAACTGGATCCCAAAGGACTTAGTTTAAAAAATATGTTGTGAAATTTTAATTGAGATTCAGAGAAGACATTTTTGATTTGAGAATAAAACCATCCATTAGTTTTCTGTAACCCAAATGCATTTTTTATTAAGAGTACAAGATTAAAGTGTCGATAATGAAATGGGCCTGGAATAGGACCTCTGTTCATGAATAATTTCCATCATTGTATTTAGACAGGAAGGAGCGAGCTCCCCCAAAGGTGACACACAGTTGAACTTAAACTCTTCTTTAGTGTAACCTCTCTCCCTCTTACTTCTCCCCTAAATGTTTCTAGCATTATGGGTTTGGTTTCTAATCTTATTTTGCTGTGCAAGCTGCAAGAATGTTAGGTTTTTCTGACTATTCCTCTGCCTTCTGATTACCCTTTTAAGCAGTGCTGATTGCAGGAAATTGCTATGGTGCAAGGCGGGTGTCACAACACACAGTGATTAAAACCCGCATGTGTCATTCACTGCTTGATTGAAGTAATCATACAGAGGGAAAAAGCAGATGAAAAACCTGCTAAATGTGCAGAGGGGGGCTGTTTCTCATCATTTGGGTGTAAGGATTTTGAGTTAAAGAATCAAAACTAGTGGAAGAGAGGCTTGTATTTTTAGTGATTTTGCTTCATTCTGAATCCTCAAAGCTTCTGAACAAGACCCGGGTCTCTGAACATGATCTAAGAAAAACAAGTTGTTGCTTTTTACCAAACACGTGTTGCCCAATGTACACGACTATAAAATAGTGGTTGAGCATATCAAGGGGAAAGTTCCTAGAATGTAAATGGAACAAGCAGGTGAAAACACAATGGGAGAGGCCTGAATAACTCAATCTTAAGTTCATTATTTTTATTTGAGACAGGGTCTCGCTGTCACCCGGGCTGGAGTGCAGTGGCACAACCACAGCTCTCTGCAGCCTTAACCTCCTGGGCTCAAGCAATCCTCCCATCTCTGCCTTCCCAGGAACTGGGATTACAGGCATGTGCCACCACACCCAGCCACAAACTAAGTTCTCTTATCACTCTTTCCTTTCTGCCCAATGTTGAGAGAGTAGTTAAATTGAAATGGCAGTTTTATTATATTAGGCCTATGTGGCTCTAAAGCTATTTAAATTATTTGGTAGTTCTCAAAAGCATTAGTTCCATTTGGGCTAGATATAGTGGTCAGTATAGAAAATACAGCTAACTATCACTTGATTTCTACCTAAATCCTTGTGACCAGTCCCATTCTCTTCCATCTTCTGCTCTTGTGCTTCTTTTGTGTGGCTTAGCACGGGAAGAGGATTCTCATTCCCGTGAGGCATAGGATCATCAGTGTTACTCGAACAAAGAACGCTATATGTCAGGCACCGTAATAGGTATTAAGGGCATCCACTAATGATTTCTTATGTCTCTCTCAGGTACAGAACCCTGGTATTTCTATTTAATTAATGGATTTCTGAATTTCAATGTAGCCTTTGCTTTGGCTCTTCTAGTCCTACCACTGACTTCTCTTATGGAATACCTGCTGCAGAGATTTCATGGTGAGTGGCATAAGAGACGGTAGGTTTTTTTGGGGGAAAGAGCAAGTAATGATGTATACCAAGAACTGAAGGAAAATCCAACTTGTTTTATTTTCCACATTCTCCCTATAGAAATGGTGGGCTTACTGGATTTTCAGTCTGTATTTGTTGATCAGTTGAACCTTTGTGAAGATTTGGTTAATTGTGACAAATTAACAAGAGGAAGAGCTTCATTATCGCTTTAAGTGAGGAAGTCAGTATAATTTACACAATCACCCAGGGAGGTAAAAATATTTATAAAACCTCAGAAAGAGGCTGGGAACCGTGGTTCATTCCTGTAATCCCAGCACTTTGGGAGTCCAAGGTGGGCAGATCATTTGAGATCAGGAGATTGAGACTATCGTAGCTAACACAGTGACACCGCCTCTACTAAAAATACAAAACATTAGCCGAGCATGGTGGCACATGCCTGTAGTCCCAGCTACTCAGGAGGCTGAGGCAGGAGAATCACTTGAACCCAGGAGGCAGAGGTTGCAGTGAGCCGAGATTGTGCCATTGCACTCCAGCCTGGGTGACAGAGCAAGACTCCCTCTCAAAAATAAAAAAAAAAAGGAAAAGAAAAACCTCAGAAGAGAACAAGCCTATTTGTGTTTTCTATCTTTTAAAGAAGTGTGTATTAGCCTGGTAGGTTGATTAAGGTAATTCACGGGATGGTACTTCAAACAAAAGTATAAAATCTGAACCATACCAGGATTTCCCCAGATTCGATACTAAAGTAAGAGAAGCTTTGAACTTCCTCAGAAGCATGATGCTTCTCTTTGTTCCCTTTTGTTTCTGTGTCTGCCTTTTTGGAGAAAGTTCGGTTTGTCATTTGCTTTGCTTGCTCTGATTCTGTAGTGCACAGCTGGTGTTTTCTCAAGTTGTCGTGGCTCTGGATATCTAGTGCCTCTCGTTTCTTTTATGGAACACAGATTTGAGCAGAAATTCATATGAGATTTGGAAAAAGATTTAATTTCAGACTTTTCAGTCTGATTTGGATGCCATATGATCAGTTCCCCCATCCCACCTCCATTCTGCTTTTCTACTATTAATGGTTTATAATGAGTTCATTGTGTTATAAGAATATTAGAGCAGCCTTCAGAGTCACTTTTTTTTGGTATTAAGACTTGTTTCAACATAACCATAATGCCATTATCCTAACAAAATTATCAATAATTTCTTAATATCATCTGATAACCAGTTGATTTCCTAGGTTGTCTGAAAAATAGCCTTTTATAGTTAGGTTAAAGCAGAATCTCAGTAAGGGTTACACACTGAATTTAGTGTTATATTTCTTAAGTTTTTTAAGAAGACCCCTATCTTACTTTTTTTCTTCCAAATATTTCTTTAAAGAAACCAGGCCATCATCTTGCATAATGTCCCACATTTTAGACTCAGCTGTTTGCTTCCTTGAGGTGTTAACTTATTCCTCTATCCCTTCTATTTCTTAAGGATCACTTATTCTTTTTTTGAAAATAGCTGTTTTTCTGACTATAAAAATAATTTATGATAGCTGAGAGCAGTGGCAAGTGCCTAATAGTCCCAGCTGCCTGAGAGGCTAAGGTGGAAGGATTGCTTGAGCCAGGAGTTTGACACCACTCTGGGCAACATAGTGAGACCTGTGTCTCTATTTTTAAAAACAACAATAATAATTATTTATGCTTGTGGAAAACTTGGAAATGCTTATATGTAAAAAACAAAACAAAACAGGACATTAAGCTGTTCTCTGCAGTATATAATTTTAAGTATAAAATATTGGTTTAAAATGTATAATATATGTACATATCTACCTAATAAGAAAATGAACATTTTCTGTTTTTTTCTTTAGATTTTTATGTGATTTTACAATAGAAGCAATACTTTTTTAAAAGAAAAAAGACCAAGCATGGTGGTGCATGCCTATAATCCCATTATTTTGGGAGGATGAAGTGGGAGCATTACTTGAGCTCAGGGGTTCAAGACCAGCCTGGATGAGATAGTGAGACTCTGTTACTACAAAAAACTGAAAAAAAATAGCTGAACATGGTGGTGCACACCTGTAGTCTGAGGTACTTGGGAGCCTGAGGTGGGAGGATCACTAAGCCTAGAAGGTCAGGGCTACAGTGAGCCATGGTTGTGCCACTATACTCCGGCCTTGGTGACAGACTGATACCCTGTCTCGAGAAAAAACAAAACAGAACTCCCCAAACCATAGAAAATTATAAAGAAACAGGAAAGAAATTACCCATGATTCAATCATATCTAGCTGTGGTTGTGATTTTGTATATTTTATAGAGGACATTTCAAAATATTTGCCTTATTAAAAAAAAGATTACTTGTTAGCCTTTAAGGTACAGAAGAGAAAAGGACTGTTTACTTGTGGACAATAAAAGGATTTATAATCTTCCACTAAAAACCCCACCTTAGGCCGGGCACGGGGGCTCACGCCTGCAATCGCAGCACTTTGGAAGGCCGAGGCGGGTGGATCACCTGAAGTCAGGTGTTCAAGACCAGCATGGCCAACATTGTGAAACTCCATCTCTACTAAAAGTAGAATTAGCCGGGTGTGGTAGTGCACACCTGTAAATCCAGCTACTCGAGAGGCTGAGGCAGGAAAATCGCTTGAACTTGGGAGGCAGAGGTTGCAGTGAGCCGAGATCGTGCCACTGTGCTCTAGCCTGGGCAACAGAGTGAGACTCCATCTCCAAAAAAAAAGAAAAAATATCTCCCCTTTAAAATACGCTATTTAGAAAGTTACGTATCCTAAATTATCTAAAATCCCATGATAAAATCTTAGAGAAAAGGTTGAAAAAATAATCTTATTATTGTACTTCAAGAATTTTTATCCCCAAATAATTTTTTCAGTGATACTGATAACCTAGGAGTGCTAAATTAGGCATAAAGTGGTTCTTGATGATGGTCATGATCTTGTAAACTAGCCTGCTGTTGACATAGTGGACACCAGGGGGCGCTGTCTATCTACCATTTGCCTGCATTTGCGTTGCTCATTAACGCTCATGTAAACACAGTAGGAGATGCCTTCACTGTGGGTTGCAGGCCTATCACTCATTGCTCATATACCTAACTGCAGGAACGTTCCAGCAGGTTCTTGGGTTTTAGTGTTCATTACATTCCTTTAATTCTTTCACTTGCTTTAAGTACCTTTTTGTTCCAATTTGGGGACGCAGAGTGAATGAGTATTGCAAAAAAGGAGAGAAAACAATCACTAAACTTCCTTTAAGAGCATTTTTATATTTCCTTTGAAACAAACTGTCATTTGTGGCTTGATGGAAACCAGTATGAGTTTGAGAATCCAACAATTTTTTTACCTTTGATCAATGGCTATTTGCACAGACTGGTGTATAGATAAGAGGATTCATGTATTAAACAGAACATCAGCATTAAAACCCAAGAAATGAGTTTATGTTATGCTTTTGGTTAATCTCACAAACCTTTCATCTTAGTGGCAGGACTCATTAAAGGAGACGGCATTTTCTTCAGCCAATGTAGAATTTATTAAGTTCTATTAGCCATTAACTTGACGTTCATCTGTGTCCTCACCAATCTAGTATTGTGCCGCTGTTAGAGTTTAGATCTCGGGAGAGCTAAGGAGTATGTTCCTCTTTCCTTTTGATGCCTTTATTGCATTGGAGAAAGTGTGAATACAGGAGTAGAAACATTTTATGGAGTGTCCTAGGGCATACTCTCAAATTTGAGATCAAGGTAACACTGAAACTAAATATGTTGTTTTGTTCTAATATATTGAAAGGTGGATGTTTTTCTGTGTCTTGCAGTTCAGAATTTAGGCCACCCATATTGGCTTACCTTGGCTCCAATGTATATTTGGTTTATGGTTTTCTTCATCCAGCCTCACAAAGAGGAGAGATTTCTTTTCCCTGTATATCCACTTATATGTCTCTGTGGTGCTGTGGCTCTCTCTGCACTTCAGGTGAGTTTCAGGGAGAAGTATATCTGCCTCATTCTTTTTTACTTATTAAATAATTGCTCACAAAACTTAAGTGAAAATTACAGAATGCTTCCACCTAACATATTTTATCCACAACATGAAGCCTGATACAGATCATATTATTAAAGCTTCTTGTATTGATTGCTTAGCTGTTTACCATACTCTTATTTGCTGATTACATGTTTGCAGTGTTAATTTGTGTGTTACTTTGCCTCTGTTACCAACAGAAATCCAATTGCAGAATTCCATTCTGTGGCAGAGGTAATGGAACATCTGCTCTTTGAACTGCTAGATCATAATAAAACTTACCCAAGAGTTTGGGATCACATCAGACACTTCACAGTCTGGGGCACTCTGTAATCCTGATTGAAAACCTGCCCAGGTCAATTCCTTGGCAGAGCTCATCTTAACTGTTTGAATATCTCTCTACTTATGGCTTCAGTAGCCTCAGAACGCTTTATTGCCCTCTACTACCATTTGCAGTTGGCATAAAAGAAAATAATTAGGATGATAGGTTTTTTTCTTAACAGGTTTATTGAGATATAATTCATAAACCATACAGTTTACCTATTTAAAGGTATGATTCAGTGGTTTTTAGTCTATTCACAGATGTGTGCAACTGTCACCACAGTCAATTTTAGATCAATAACCCTGTACCCTTTAGCTGTTGTTCCCCCATTTCCTTTCCCATATCTCCTCAGCCCTAAGTAACCACTAATCTACTTTGTGTTCCTATAGATTTGCCTATTCTGAACATTTTCTATATATGGAAACATGATATATGGTCTTCTGTGACTGGCTTTTTTCACTTAACATAATGTTTTCAAGGTTCATCAATTTAGGTGATAGTTTTAAAAAATAATTTTAATTATAAAAGTAATTGAACTTTATTGCAGATAATTTAGGAAGTGGTAAAAGAAAAATTAGCCCCATTAACCTAACAAAAACTCCTCCCAGCATTTTTGTATATCATATACCAAGGTTTATTATAGTTGTGATAATCACTGTACATGTGACTTTATATCCCTTCTAATTTAATATTATAACATTCTCTGTGCTTATCATTTTAGTAGCTGTGGAATGTTCTGAGTTGGATATAATATGTAACATTATTATGCAATGTATAATATATTGACTTGATTTTACATAATATAGTTATTAGATATAATTCATGGTAAAATTTAGGTTGCTTATTTATTCAATATTCTAAATACTGCTAGGATAAATAGCTTATATTTGGACTGATTCCTTAGAATAGATTTCCAAAAATATGAAAAGGGTTCAAACAGATTGATGCCATTTGTTATATATTGGAAAATTGCTTTCTGAAAGTAGTTTTTGTCTAGAAGGGAAGGAAGGAAGGGAAGAGGTCTGATAGAAGGTACTGAAAGACAGCAGAATTCATGCATGTGTTTATATTATAATATTCATCTAGTTTGTAAAGTCGTTCAGTATATAATTAAGAGCATGTTCCTAGTGTTCTACGAGGGGAATTCTTTTTTCTTATTTGGTCATGAGACCTTTTTTTGATACTAAAAGCTTTGATAAAAACTTTGATAGTAAAGATTAGTATTCATTATATCAGAAACAAATTGAAATACTTTATATATCAAATAAAACTACCAAAAAAAAGCATTTCTTAAATTTTTTTTTAAATATCTTATTAGGCCTATAAATGCTAGCAAAATATTTAAATACTTTTCCTATGAAGCTAGTGAGATTTTATTGTTGGCAAGCCCTCTGGCTGGCCAAAACTACAGGTAGTCTTAAAGGAGTTGGCTTTTATCTTAGAGTTTGGAGTAGGGATGTCACTGTTTGCAAATGCTCAGATCCTTAATAGAACCTCTTTTTTGACTTTGATCTTGATGTTACTGTGATGTCTTGTAATTATGTATATTCTACAAGTTATATTTTCTTTTACCAGCACAGTTTTCTGTACTTCCAGAAATGTTACCACTTTGTGTTTCAACGATATCGCCTGGAGCACTATACTGTGACGTCGAATTGGCTGGCATTAGGGACTGTCTTCCTGTTTGGGCTCTTGTCATTTTCTCGCTCTGTGGCACTGTTCAGAGGTAGATCTTCTAAGAATATCTTAACCTACACTGATGAGCCACTTCCCCTTAGGTTTTACTTGATTCATGGTTATATAATACATATTTGGCTTATGCTAAGAGGCCATTTCTAAAAAGAAAAACTGTAGACTTAATATTAATGAGTGGGATGTGACTTCTGTATCTTAGGATTGAAGAGAAGATTAAGGATTCCTTTTAGCGTGATTAACTACATTTTTTGTCTATTTTTGTTGTTGTTTTCTTCTAATGGATACTGATAAATTAAGGAAGTCTGAAACTTAAAATACAAATTTAGACTAACTTCTCATGATTATATGCTTTCTTATAATCAGTATTTGGATCCATAATCTTACAATATGCTCAAGGAAAATGAAGTTAAAAAGGTGAAAGGGCATAGAGAGGGGCAAGAAAGCCAATTATTTTTGGCAGAATAGGGCCACTGCTGTAACCATGTTCTCAGCTAGAGGGACATTTTCTACCTGTAGAGCAGGCTTCCTGCTGGAATTGCTGTGGTCCTTCCTGCCTTTTAAATTTCATGTGGCTTATGGTACGACATTAATATGCATTATAATTGAAGTCAGAATCTCATCTTACTCATCTCTGGCTCTCACTGCCTATTCTTCCTTCCAGGATATCATGGGCCCCTTGATTTGTATCCAGAATTTTACCGAATTGCTACAGACCCAACCATCCACACTGTCCCAGAAGGCAGACCTGTGAATGTCTGTGTAGGAAAAGAGTGGTATCGATTTCCCAGCAGCTTCCTTCTGCCTGATAAGTAAGTTGTCCTTTAATTCCCAGAGTTTTAAATCAAGAAGTAGATAGAGCAGTTCTGTGGCAGTATTTTCTAATTTTTGTTTTCTTTTGGAGTTTTCACAGAGAGTTATTGAATCATTTACTACCTCGAAGAGCTGTGGGGCCTGCGTACTGTGTACCTGCCTTCTGTGTTCATTAGGCTCATTAGACTGAGGGCTGGGTCTGGGTAGACATTCTGCACTGTCCATAACCGCAGGTGTCCAGGGACTTCTGAAAATGCCCTGTGTCCTAGGCTTTTGCCAGTGGCTCTTCCTGAGGATTCATATTTACATTTTTATAATTACCTGATATTAATCCACTTCTAAAAGTGGTCTAGAAACTTCAGCTAGACGAGAGAAGAAATTTTTGATCCAACAGTGGTGAAATTTCTTTACCATTATGTAGACACTGGGGAAAGCTGTGATTAAAACATCCGTAACAGTATCTTTTATGCTGTCTGTGGTTATGAGAGCATAGGCCCTAAAGTTCCTTGTAGTTTGCTTAATTTGGCCAGAGAAGAGTCCCATGTAGGTAAAAGGGATATCTGGTTAAGATGAGTCATGTTGCTCCATTTGAGAGCTGGCTTCAGTAGCTTAGCTTTTTTAGGTAGTAGTACCTTATGCTTCATAAAGACCTCGTCTCAGTCATTGATGATTAAATTAAAACTTGTTTTTTAAGTGTTGACTTTGGCCTTTGCCTTTTACATTTGAAATAGTTTTATAGATAAGGATATGTTTGAGGGTTACTCAGGAACAAAGTATTTCTTCCATAGTATGTTTTCAGTGCCATATATTACATTTCATTCTTTTTCTTTTCTTTTTTTTTCTTTTTTGAGACAGAGTCTTGCTCTATCTCCAGGCTGAAGTGCAGTGACACAGTCTTGACTTACTGCAACCTCTGCCTCCTGGGTTCAAGCGATTTTCTTGCCTCAGCCTCCTGAGTAGCTGGGACTGCAGGCATGCAACACCATGCCCCAGCTAATTTTTGTATTTTTAGTGGAGATGGAGATTTACCATGTTGGCTGGGGTGTCTCTTGACTTCGTGATCCGCCTACCTCAGCCTCCCAAAGTGCTGGGATTATAGGCGTGAGCTACCGCGCTTGACCTCTTTCATTCTTTATGTTTTTATACACCTGATAATTTGCTTCATTTGGTGAGTCTCTGTGCCCAAATAGTAATTGACAATAATCATCGGCACTTCTCTGGTTGTTTGATGGTATGACTGTTTGGTTATGAATTTCACTGCTAAGACTTGGTGAAATGGGTCAAGAGACATCTAATTATAAATTTCTCAATGATTTTGGACCGATTTGTGACCTCTGCCTCTATGCTCCCTGATTAAGGTTTTAGCAGAAATATTTTTCCATCAAGTGAAATGTTTTTCACATGATTTTTTGGCTTGTTTGTTTCAAATAGGTTTAGCAATATTATCCCCCTGTGTTTTTCTTACTCTCCTTATTTGTGTTTCTGACAGTTGGCAGCTTCAGTTCATTCCATCAGAGTTCAGAGGTCAGTTACCAAAACCTTTTGCAGAAGGACCACTGGCTACCCGGATTGTTCCTACTAACATGAATGACCAGAATCTAGAAGAGCCATCCAGATATGTAAGGGCTGCATTCTCTTTTTGTGTCTCTGAAAAGAATTCTATACCTAAAATCTATTGACATATATATTAGAGCATTGATAAAATGAGAATTTCTTAGAAAGTGATTTTTTTTTTTTTTTGAATTTTGTTTTTGTTGCCCAGTCTGGAGAGCAATGGCATAATCTCGGCCCACCGCAACCTCCACCTCCTGGGTTCAAGTGATTCTCCTGCCCCAGCCTCCCAAGTAGCTGGGATTACAGGCATGTGACCTCATGCCTGGCTAATTTTTTGTATTTTTAGTAGAGATGGGGTTTCTCTATGTTGGTCAGGCTGGTCTTGAACTCCCGACCTCAGGTGATCTGCCCACCTTGGCCTCCCAAAGTGCTGGGATTACAGGCGTGAGCCATCACACCCGGCCAGAAAGTGATTTTTTAAGGCCAGGTACTGTGGCTCACACCTGTAATTCCAGCATTTTGGTAGACAGAGGTGTGATAATTGCTCGAGTTCGGAAGTTTGAGACCAGCCTGGGCAACATAGCAAGACCGTGTCTCTAGAAATAAAATTTTAAAATAAGCCAGATGTGGTGGCTTACACCTATAATCCCAGCCATTCAGAAGGCTGAGGCAGAAGGATCACTTGAGCCCGGGAGTTCAGGGTTGCAGAGGGCCATGATAGCACCACTGCACTCCAGCCTGGACAACAGAGCGAGACCCTGTCTCAGAAAAAAAGAGGTTTTTTTTTTTTTAGGGTGAGGGGTGTAACAGCTTTTGTTGAAAAAGAGTAAACAATATCACTTTTATTTTCAAATTAACGTCTTTATATTGTATGTAAAATGTATAATTTAATATAATTTTGAAGCTTTTGGATGGGCTGGTAGAAATTTGAACCATTATTCTGAAACTCATATCGTTCCTTGGCCTATTAAAATCTTTGATAGGGAACTTTCAAGTTATCAGGTGGACCTTTGACCTAGCTATTAGTATATTCCAGTTTTAGCAAATGAACAGTCGGTGAAGACTGTTTCCATAATGAGTGCCAGGGAGCAACCCCTCTCAGGACCATGATCTTCTCCCTACTTATCTTTATGCATTCTGAGATCCCATGCGAATTTTATTTCAGTTCCTTTGAAAGATGATACTTGGGTGACATTTGATACCTGTGAAATCTTTTATAATAAAAAGGTAAGAAGTAATAAAGATAATGCTTCTCTTGGGTCCCAAAGACAGTGTAAGATCATTTTCTAGAATTATTAGAAAGCACATTTTTAGCAACCTGTCCCTTAAAGAAATATGTAAATATGTCAGCTATATTTAATTTACATTTTCTTATATACTTAAAATGTAAAATAGTGAGACTTCCAATTCTCTTCTGAAGCAAACCTGCAGCCACACCTGGTCTTTTGTCTCCAAGATTGGGGCTGGTTAGAGTTCCATGGAGACCCTCTGGGTTTATGAGTAAGATTCTTACTGTATAAGCTTTAACTATAAGCTATGAAAATGGACATCTTAATGACACAGCCTTGAGCTGTTCCCTTATGAAGGTAAGATATGCATTTCTACCACATGGCTTGTATTAGAGCTTTTTTCTTTTAATTTAAGGCTCTGATTCCTGTTACAATGGAAATACCCCTGGGCAGGGTAGACTGTTATAGGTCATTTTAATTTTATCTGCAGATACGAGTCTCCTGAGCACAGGGCATCACTCTGGGGACACTGGACAGTCAAAGGGTAGGAGAATACACTGTCATAGGGGGACTGTATAAATTCAGAGTGATGTTATAGGAGATTTGCTTTAGGAAGAGGTAGTAAAAGTGGAGTAGTGAAAAAAAGAGCATGGACTTTGGAGTTGAGTAGATCTGCCTACATTCAATCTCAGCGCTGTTACTAAACTCAATAACCTTGGGCAAATTAGTTAACTTCTCTGTTTAACTAATTTAGTTTCTATCTGTAAAATAGCACCTACTTTAATTACGACATTTGATATTCTGTCTCTCTGTAGCTTAAATGCAATGTTCTTATGCTTGCACAAGTGTTCTTAATCTGATAATGGTATACTAGATGGATTCAAGGTAAAGAAACCCTTAAGGAGATGTATAATCTGCCCAGATCTCTCCCTTTCCTTCCTTTTATTGTTCCCCATCCTGGTAATTTTATTCCAGTGTGTCCAGACTCATCATTGCCTTTTCCACTCCAGTGACTTCACTCATATTGGTGACTGTGCCCGAACTACCCTTGTGTCTCTTGTCTATCAAAATTATCTTCTTTTTTTTTTTTTGAGACAGAGTTTCGCTCTTGTTACCCAGGCTGGAGTGCAATGGCCCGATCTCGGCTCACCGCAACCTCTGCCTCCTGGGTTCAGGCAATTCTCCTGCCCTAGCCTCCTGAGTCGCTGGGATTACAGGCACGCGCCACCATGCCCAGCCAATTTTTTGTATTTTTAGTAGAGACGGGGTTTCACCATGTTGACCAGGATGGTCTCGATCTCTTGACCTCGTGATCCACCCGCCTCGGCCTCCCAAAGTGCTGGGATTACAGGCTTGAGCCACCGCGCCTGGCCGATTATCTTCTTCTTTGAAGTGAAATATTCAAGTCCATATTGAGCAGACCATCCTTTAAGTATCTTAAGTATTTATCTGTGCAGTTCATTTAGCCATTTAATTTTGTTGGTCTTATGTTATTTAAATATTTCTGATATCTATATCATATCTTTCCCCATCAAATGTGTGAATGCTGTGAAGAGAATGACTGCACTTTGTGTCTTTTGTGTTCACCATAGCATCTAGGATAGTGTTGTATACCTAGTAGTTCACTTTTACATGCTTTCTCAGTGGATAATGAATATTCATCATCATTGTGGCAATGATGTTGAGAGAAAGCTGGCTAGAAAATCTGCAATGGCCTTTTGCACATTTCTTAGGCTTTTGTTACTGGTTGTCTTAGTTAGATCATATTTTCATATTCTCTGCTATCAGACAGTGTTAAATTTCATTAAATGACCCTATATGTGCTTTACCCAAAAGGTGATGATTTTTCAGAATGCCAGTAGTCACCAAAATGCTGACTGATAAAAACAGGGACAAACAAATGATTTATGTCTGCTGGGTAGCAGCCATGTCCAGCCCTTTAAATACAAGGATTTTTTTGCTTATTTGTGGTGACAGAATCACAAAAATTAGGCATGAACCTTTTTTATTAGTTCATCAACTTTCATTAGTGATAGTGTATTTTATATGTGGTTCAAGACAATTCTTCTTCCAGTGTGGCCTAGGGAAGCCAAAAGGTTGGACCTCCATGGATAGAGTGTCTGTCATTGTACCCATCCACATTCTTGAAGATGAGTTTTACTGCAGAATTGCCTTCGTGCTCTAGTTTCAGTGGATTTTCCTGCATGGGGGTCGGCAGCGGAGTGCTCTCCAAATCCAATTTACTCACCTTTGACCCTTTGGAAGTAGCAGGGATGTTTGCTGGCTTAATTTTTTTTTTTTCCATCATCTACTTGACTCTCATGCTGACTTACTATTAATTCTGCATGAACTACGATAATGGATTTATCTCTCAGTTAACTGTTTAAAAAGATATTTGTTTTCCTGTGATGGTAGAAGTAATATGTATTCATTGTAAAATAATGAAAGTTATAGACAAGAAAAAAATTAATCTGTTATCTCATTACCCAAGTATTACTTCTGTTACCATTTTGGTGTTTCTTTCCTTTCACTTTTTCCCCCTTGTATATATATGTGCATTTGGAAGTAAACATAAATCTCAATTATTTCTTTAAAAAGAGTTACGTTTAATTCTTTAAGAAATAGTGCCAGGGGCATGACTATAATACCCAAGTAACTTTGCCCCATGTGTAGGAGCGCATGTTGTGCAATGCTTATGTTTGTCACTTTTGGGATAAGTCCTGGTTTTTAGTCCAGGCTTATCCAAGAAAGCAAAACAATGACGTTATCTTTCTTGAGCATGCTAAATAGCAGCATTATTTTTACCTCCCCTTTGGCTTCAGTGCTAAGTGCTTCAGGTCTGTCCCTTTTCTACTCTGCATGGAAATGAGGAAAGATGTATCACTTTTTAAATTTCACTATTTTCTTTACCTCTGGGCTAATCAAGAATTAGGAGTGAATAAGTGTAAAGGTTCTGTGGTTTGTACTGTACCATTATAACTATATTGCAGAAATCATTTTTTTGCCGCATATATTTTCCTGTTAAGTATTGAGTAGCTATTGAATAGCTCATTATTGAACATTAAGCATTTATAGGGGTGCTTGCCAAGATTTTCTGTCAGAATCAAGACCTGAATTTGGAAGATACATTCAATGTCACCTCTTTAGTTCTTGAAAAATTCAAATTTTTGTTCACTGTTTCAAGGTGAATGATACTCTTCCAGCTCCAAATCTGATACATGACTTGGAAGCTACCTAGTCAATGGATGAAAACTTGGAGGAAAAAACAGTTTTTCAGGAGGAAGCTTAGAGAAAAAGGCTTTTTTTCTGACTTTAATGCTTAAGCAGACTTGCTGGAAGCTTTCCTGTTTTCTTTCTTTTTTAAGAGACTGGATCTTCCAGTGGTGCCATCATAGTTCATTTTAACTTCAAGTTCATGGGTTCAAGGGATCCTCCCACTTCAGCCTCCTGAGTAGCTAGGACTACAGGCATGTATCACCATGCACAATTAATAGTTTTATTTTTTCTAGAAACAAAGTCTTACTGTGTTGCCCAGGCTGATCTCAAGCAGTCTGATTGTCTTGTCCTCTCAAAGCGCTGGGATTATAGGAATGAGCCACCATGCCTGTCTTCCATGTGTTATCTCTGAAAACATGGATTGGTCATTGATTTTTTTCCCAAGCAGTAATGTAGTCAGTTCTGCTACAATAAGATATAAAATTATGAAAAATTATTATGCAGTAAAAACCACAAAGCTTACTGGGAAAATGGAGTTAGGGACACAATACTTAAAAAACCGTCACTTAAAAAAGAGATTAAAAATTAGCCATGCATGATGGCTTATGGTGCTAATTCTA